GCATGCAAAAGGCTTCCAGAGGGGCAGGGCTGGGACACGGAGCGAGCCGAGGTCCCCTGAGCCGCCACCGACGTTAAAAGCGTGGCAAAAACGCGGGAGCGAGCGGTCGGCGCCTCACCCCGCTTTCGGAGGTGGGCTTCGCTCCTTAGGCGCAGCCGAACGCGTCTTTCAGGAACGTCTGTCGGGCGTAGCTGGGATGAGGCTGGCTGTTTTCGCTATCTGTGTGACTCTCCGGTCCCCTTTTCAGTCTTGTTTAAGTTCTTGGCCTCAACAACTTCCTGCAGCAATGAATTCTGCAGTTTAATTAAACACTGCGAGAAAAAAGTACTTCCTCTTATCAGTTTTGAATTTCCTGCCTTTTAAATCCTAGCTTGTGAAGGGAAAACAGGGCTCGGCGTCCAGCTAGCTACTCAGAGCCCGTGTTTCAAGGGAAGGAGGCTGAATCTGTCAGGGATGCTGCTGGCCAGCTGAGCGTGCCAGAGCAAACGTTGTTTTCCCTTTCGTTGCCTCAGTTTCCCCACTAGGAAAAAGTTGCTGTTGAGAGTCAGGCGCTCTTCTGCCTTTGGTCTGTATTTTTTATCTGCAAACCAGAATAAATGGATATCGACACTGAACGACGGTGTTTTTTTCTTACAGACGTTTCTAGTGGAATAAACCACAGGTAATTTGGCAAGGAGCCGGCGTACCTAGAGCTGGTGATTTGTTCCAACTCGTCAGGATCTCATCCAGCTCCTGTGCTTTGAAGGTGCAAACAACAAAGCCGAACGGGGGAAGACGCCTAATGACTTTTGGGGCTGGAAATACGTATTTTGCATTCCTGACTTAACTTGGGAAGTTCCTCTGTTTCTTGTGGGGTGCCTTTAGTAATTAGAGATGGCTTGAAGGGAGGCAAGCTGGCATTAAAAAAAAAAAGCTTGTGGTACAAACAACTAGGCTTTTCCATGTTACTATTAATACCTTAGACCTTGATCCTTCTCCAAATACTCATGCATGGGTTTAACAGTTTGCAAATGAGGAGTCTCTTTGATTCTGAAATGTAAATGTTTGCAGAGCTGGGGTTCTCAGTTATTAAAGATGAAAGATGCTTTAAATTGCAGCGCAGCAGATTTTTTCAGCATGCTTTGTTGCCTTTTTGGCATTCCTCTCACCCTGGCAACAAAAGATTAATTTCGAAGTTTGGAGGGGAGGTTTTTAGTATAGTACGATTTGTTTTACGCTACGACCTTTGGATGTAAATTCAATTCTTTTTTACAGACATTTCTAGTGGAATAAAACAGCCGTTGCTTTCGATCGGATGTTCTTTGGAGCCTTCTCTTTTCCAGGTCTCTGTTTTGGGCCCTGTTTGAGCTCGCTATATTTATTTGCAACAGCAGTATTACACAGTTCAAAGGTATTGCTGCATTTGCTGCCATCTAATGGAAGATTTTAGCCTGGGCCTCCTCAACTCCATCTTCTCTTGCAGGCAAACAGAAACGTTTGCTGAGCCGGCCGCAGGACCGCACAGGAAAAGCGCCATCTCCCGCGTATAATCCCGGCAAATTTAGGCGAAGGGAAAAGCCGGTCTGAGGGACAGCAGAGGTCCGAGTACAGCTGGCAGCTGCTGCGGGCCCTGGGAAAGGAGCCTCTTTGGGTCGGTTAAACGGAGACGGTGCAACTCTTATCGTTAACCAGACTTGCAAAGCGCGCTTGGATTTCTACGTGCACTTTTCAGATAAAATAGCAAAGCAGAAATAGGGCAGATGGGACCAAACAAACCCTGCTGTTTGATACTGCAGACTTGAATCCGGACCCAGCTCTGAACTGAGCCGTGTAAACTCTTCCTTAGTAACCAAATTCTTCAGGCTGGTCCCGCTGCTCTTTCAGTAAAGCATTTTATAGTGGAATTTTTTTTTATAGTATTATTAAAAAACGACCTCTTCTTGCAAGTATATTTTTGTAAAGCCCTTAACAAAACAGGTCCTCGGTTTTCCTGTGGCTACCACACTCTGCCAAATGTACATTTAAATAATAGTGGCACCAAAAAACAATCTGAGCACGCTTATTTCCCAAAAGCTGCACGTATGCAGAGTCTTTAAATAAATCTATTGAACTGCTGGGGATGGAAGCAATACATTTCCCCTTGTAATATTTAAAAAATACTAAAATATAATATTTTCATTTTTATTTACTTCATCTGCATGGCTTTCTCTGCAAAGAGACAGTTCTCTGCTTCAAGTTGTAAAGAAAGAAGGAAAAAACTAATACTGCAGAAAGAAGCTGTATCATTTTTAAAGGGCTGGCTGTAGGAGCTTGCATTTTCCCCGCCCGTCCTGAGATTTGCAAACTCTGCTCTGGGCGCGATGCAATAACGTGGACACTCGGAAGCATTTATCTGCTCATATATCCATTGAGCTCATCACCTCAATGCTCTTTCCATTATCCTGGACTTTTTCCCGCCCCTCTTTTTAATGTATTTTGAACAAAGTTTTTAGTAGTTTTTTGTCGAGACCCACTACTGCTCACTGGCATGGTAAAACATGAAAGAGGAAAAACTAGCTTCACCTTGCCTAATTGAGCAGCCTTGCAGAGCGCTTTTAGGATATGCCGCGTATTTTGTTGTTCCAAATCAAACGCTAGCAGATTGTAAAGCTAGAGAGAAATTCACTGCCGCGCAGTAGCGCAAACGGTCCTAAAATCCTCTTGGTTTACGCACTGGCTGGGTTTTAGTCTCCAAATCCAAGTGGTAAAGTTTCCCGACAAGTATTTTGGGGCGCTTGGGGCTGGAGGGTACTAGAAGCAGATTACAAGGGAAGGAGACGGACGACAGACTGCTCCTTCCCGACGGATTTTGCTCTGAGCAGCGGAGAGCGAGCAGGCAAGTCAGACATGCGGGGAGCAGAGCTGGTGTCTGAGGGCTATTTTTATGCTTTTCTGGCCATCGCTGCAGTTTCAGATCACAACAAGGAGTCGAGCTGTCATCAGCAGCAGCCCTTTTTCTTCTGAGTTGGCTTTGGTTCCTCTTCTACCTTGCTTTTCAGCTGATCGTCACGGATTTTGAGTAACCTGGTAGGACAGGAGGCAAATTAAGCTGGTTACTTTCCCCTGCATTTTGCGTTTCTGTTCTGTTTTGACAAATGGTGGTAAAGGAGGCTCTGAGCCTTCCAGTGAGAGCCACGGACTCGGCTGAAAATACCAGCCTAAACTGAGTCACAGATAGAATTGATTTCAATTGACCCAGGGAGAAATTCGCAGCATCCTGAGAGCTGGGGCAAGGCCTGGGAGTGAGTCCGAACGAGCAAGTAAACCCATCTAGTACGACGATCTCTGATTTACTGCTTCGCACCAGGCATCTGCCTTATCAGCGTTGAACTCCCAGACGATGAGAAGTAATTTCAGTGCTTAAAGCTGTCTTAATTGTTTAGATCATGCTAATCCCTGAGCTGAGGGAGGAAGAAAGGACTGGCAGCATCTAGAAGCGACACTGGAAGTTTTTGCTGGAGGACTCCAACATTTAAATGGAGCTGCTTTCGTTAGGCTTCGTTCCCTGTCTCGCTTTCTAATGTGTCTCATAGGCACACAAACACGCCAGCGAGGGTTTTTTAGCTCCATGCTGCAACGTTGAATATTCAGGCCACATCTTACAGCGTACCCTGGCCCTTCACTGGCCATTAATGTCAGGGCAGCTGGGCAAGATCCAAGTGTTTGGCTCACCTGATTAAGCTGACCATGGACTCAGAGACGTTGTGGCCCGAGGCAGCACTGCATTCATAAAATGTGAGCTGATGCTCCTGGAAGACAAAAAGCCCAAGTAAAAATGCACTCCTATTGCATTTGGTTGGAATAGCTTCACGGACACGGGGGTAAACATCCACGGAAAAGTCACGGTCAAGTGGAAACACAAGGACCAGAGGGCCTCGCAGCTTCAAGGAAACAAGAAACTGAATAATTATCGATTTACAGGAACGTGAGGGATGAAATACAGCTCTTCTTGTAGCTAGGGCACCAATATTTAATACTGAGGAAAAGACAGATGTTACAGACAGAAGCAGATGTGATGCAGTCTGGTTAGAGAACTGAATATGGAGATGATAACTAGACGTTCCCAGGTCTTTCAAGCTTTGCCGGTAACTAGTTTGTGAAAAAAGCATCTAACCTCTCTGTCCTGGTGTCTCCATATGTAAATCCCAGACTGTTACTATGACTCAGCCCTTGGCCGACAAAGGGGGAAGGATGGCAAGACAGATTCTGTGGTCCCTTTCCTGGACACCGACAAGCAGAAGATGAGTTAAGGGCTTTCGACTTTCCTCCAGGTCCTCAGGCAGGTAAGAGCTGGTGGCATCCATCCTTTCAGCTGTCCTTGCTTAGCTTTGGTCGCATTCAGCTAACTATGAAGCTGGAGCGACTGGCGTGCTTTTGCAGGGCTGTGCACCTACCTGAGCCAAGCGCTCCCCTTCCTTCGTAGGGACCTGTCTCTCTGCAGCGCAGTCGGTTTTGTTCCCCAGGAGCAGAATAGCGATTCCGTCTTCTGCTCCTTCCTGTGCAGTTAAAGAGGGGAGAAGCAGGGTTGCATCTAGATCTGCTAGGAATCATGGCCAGACACGCTGGCTTGGAGCACCGTCAAGGATACCCATGGATTTGGGCTGATCACGAAACTTTAAATACTGTTATCCTAGTTCAAAAACTTAAGAAAAGTTTTTTTTTTTTTCTTAAATCACCTGTCTTGGCCTCTTAAATAGTACAGAGAATGGGACAAGTTACATGTATAACGAACTCACTTTGTATTTGATTTGTGATATCCTTCAGAAGATGATCCGGCTATGATTTCAGGGCCCTGAGCAAGGTGACAACCTATTTTTTTTCCAGTACTTTTAAGCACTCACTTTATACTTCACTGAAAATCTCTGACAAGAAGCTTTTATAAGACATCAGTTAACTCTCATTTCCCACTAAAGTGGACTATTCTTCTTGATTTAAAAATGGTTTTGAAAACCCTTTCAAGACTTTTCATTGTTTCTTGCCAGTTTTCAGTAAAAAAAACCCAAAAACTGATAATCATCATGACAACGTTAGGAACAGATAATACCTGGAAACATTTCAAAACTGTGAAAAATGTTGGCATTTGAATTTTTAAAATCCTTGAAGAAAAATTATTTTCTGATGAAAACAAAGCAGAACGCCTTTTGTGGAGTAAGTAAAAATCCCTCAGACGTCAGGACCTGACCCAGCGCCAGAAGTCAAGTCAGTGAAATGCTGATCTTGGAGTCACTGGGTGTTTCCAAATCACAGGGGCAGGACCGAGGATTTCCTAATTCACCCACCTGGATACAGCTCAGCCAGTAGCGCACGTCCGCGAAGGAATATTCCGATGTGATATCATACATCAGCACGACGCCGTCTGCCTTCCGGAAAAACTGCTTGGTGATGCTGTGGTACCTGCGTACATTTTAAACGGTCACCAACATGGAGTAAGAAGGTTTCGTGTGGAAATGCGCATGTGCAAAAACAGCAAAAATTTGCTCGGGTTAAGGCTGAAAAGTGGTATTTTCCTGAGCTTGACAGATGTTTTACTTAGGCATGTATATAAATACTTGAACTCTGAACTTGAAAATACATCCTTCTAAAGACATGTACACCCACGTGAGGAAATTAAAGATCAACATCTGTCCTCTCGGAAAGCCGCAGGGATTTATCTGAAATTCAGGGAGACCCCAGATTTTGCTCCTATACTGACAAAGGAGGCTGTAGAGACAGCCTGAATACTTATTTTTAATCTTAATTATTTCCTTTATTCTTCTTTATCTGATCTCACATTTCTTTGGAGGCCCTCCTTACACAACCCCACTTTGCTTAGCCAAGCCGAGAACATTTATTTCCACTGAGCTACCAAACAAATCCCGGCTGCTTCCCCGCAGCACAGCACCTTACCTTTCTTGCCCAGCTGAGTCCCACAGGCGGAGAGCAAAGAGTTTGTTGTCCACGATAAGATTTTTGATCTGGTAATCCAGTCCTAGGACGTACACAACGGGAACATTTTGATGTTGTAGGGTTCATCCCCGAGATACAGGATGGGTGCAGAAGCTACACAGTACAAGCGTGGCCTGTAGTCGAACCCTCAAGCTTTTAGATCTTTGATGGCTAGAAGGTCTCTCATTTCAGGCTGAGTAAAAACAGGTTGGTAAAGAGAGGAGCACAGAGCCAAAAGGCAGAGAGGAGCGAAAAAACATAAGGGCCTTTGGCCGTGAAACAAGGCCTGCTTAAATCATGTCAGTAATAATTCTCTGGAGACTATTAGGAGGACCCAGGTGAGCCTAGGAGCGAGCATTCAGGTGCATTAGGCTGGTGCTCCCATTTGGTCCTAGGTGACACTGAGGCGTGTTGGATGTGAGAGGTGCCGTGCATGTAATGACCACGGGCAGGTTGTCTTGTGCCCTGACTGGCAGTGAGCAATGAGTTATTGGGAATTTAAAATTGATTCTCGTCTTGTTTCTAAGGGTAAAGGCTGAGGGGGGTGGAAGAAAGGGAACTGTGGCGGTTACCCAAGCAAGGACCGAGCTGTGCCGGAGAGCAGCTGAAGGAAGCCTACCTACTGTAGCGGTGAGGTGCGGGTTGAAGGAGTTGGCATGTAACCGGTACAGGAATGACGTCTTGCCCACGTGGGAGTCCCCGACGAACAGCACGTTGTAGAGGTGGTCTGGATCAGGCCAGGTTTCAGGAGTGACTCCTGCGGAACTTCTTGCCCCATCAGCCATCACAGCCCCTGGATCTTCTGGGCTGGGCTTTACTTCCTGACTCGTTTGCAGCCTGACGTCTTGCTTCCCATCCCGTTGACCAACATCCAGACCATTTCCTGGTTCTCCTGAGAGCCGCGTTAGAGGCTGCGTCCTGCTGTTGGCTACGTCACTCAGCAGGCTGTCTCCGAGGAATGCCCCCACCGGATCACTCCCCATGTGCTCCTCACGTCGGACCCTTGCACAAAGGGTAGACGCCGGTGGCACCTTCTCCTTTGGAAGCTCAGGGTGTTCGGCAGCTATCTGCTCCGATTCCATCACCCGCAGTGGCTTCTCCTTCGGCAGCAGCTGCTCAGGAGCAACATCTGGCCTCACCTTATCTGCCTGTGTTGAGACCTGTTCTTGTCCCAAAATGCCTAGCCGTTGCAGATCTGGAACGAGAACATCCTCTTGTGTCAGTGTTTCATGCTTTTGCCCCCTGATTGGTAACGGCACCTCTGAAATGGATGAGGCCACCATGGCTGCACCAGCATTGCAGCCCTGCTTTAGTTGTAAACCCTCAGTTTGGGTGAAAAACCTCACATCTGCCTCAAGGCTTGCTCCCTGCACCACTTCTAGATCCTGGACTTCATCCAGAGGCCTCACCTCTGCGTTAGTCCTCTCTCCCTGCAGCATTTCCACTCCGTGGATCTTGAATGAGTATAGAGCGGGACCGGTGCTCTCCCCTAGCATCATTTCCTTAGGCTCCTCTTGCACATCTGCACTAGTCTTGTCCCCCTGCATTACTTCTGCTTTAGGAGTTTCCAGTGAATATATTTCTAAATCAGCACTTTTCCCCTGTGTTTTTTCCCCATTCAAAGCCCCTGGAGCTTGGGGCAAAAATTCTGGATGAATCTTCTCAGTCTGAACGACTTTTAGCTTCTGAGCCCCCTCCGCAGCTTGTGCACATGCATCAACCCTCTCTCCCTGGGTTATCTCTAATATCTGGGTTTCCTCCAGGATCTGGCCATCTGCGCCAGCGAACGCTCCCAGCATTACTTCCAGATCAGGAGTCTCAGTGTTGGCAATGGCTTGGTCATGGGGCTGAGCACCTTGTGTTGCAGCCCCAGCCAGGGGCTGCACTTCTGCATGGGCCGCCCCGTCTGTCAAGTCTCCCTGGGGAAATGCGTGTGCCTCCAAAGCAAGGATCTGTCCTGGCATCCCTTCCCATGTCTGAGCTGTACCCAAGGGTCCCAGATCTGCCACCACGCTCTCGCTCAGGGTGAATTTGGGCTCCTCAACTACTATGAGCGGCAGCACCTTCACATCAGGGCTCAGAGCCTCCCAGGCTCCTAGGCTTTCATCCACCTTGGGTGGCTGCACACCTGCAGCATCCCCCTCTCCTGGCCTGACTCCCAACCTATAAAGAACTGGAGAGCCAGCCTCACTTGGGGGCTGCAGCTCTGCCTCCGTGCCCTCGCCCGGGGTGAACGCGAGCTCCTCGGCCTCTGCAAGGGACTGCACGTTTGCATCGCTGCTCTGCCCCTGCAGGCCCCCTGCGCTTTTGGCCTCCTCCACTGGTTGCACATCTGCCCCAGCTTCCTCCTCCTGCATCACGTCAAGTGGCTCAGCCTCCTCAGGTGGCTGCAGAGCCGGACCGGCGCTCCCTCCCTGCACCACGTCTAGCTGCTCTCCTTCATCCCCAGGCTGCAGCCCGGCATCGCCTCTCCCTCCCACCGCAGCCTCACTCGGGGGCTGCAGCTCTGCCTCCGTGCCCTCGCCCGGGGTGAACGCGAGCTCCTCGGCCTCTGCAAGGGACTGCACGTTTGCATCGCTGCTCTGCCCCTGCAGGCCCCCTGCGCTTTTGGCCTCCTCCACTGGTTGCACATCTGCCCCAGCTTCCTCCTCCTGCATCACGTCAAGTGGCTCAGCCTCCTCAGGTGGCTGCACAGCCGGACCGGCGCTCCCTCCCTGCACCACGTCTAGCTGCTCTCCTTCATCCCCAGGCTGCAGCCCGGCATCGCCTCTCCCTCCTGGCGCTGCATCTCCCACCGCAGCCTCAGCGCCGGGCTGCAGCTCTGCCTCCACGCTCTGGGTTACCTCTCCTTCCTCAGCTTCGTGCTGGCAGGCTGCATCGTTGCTCTCCCCTTGCTTTGCCTCTGGCATCTGAGCTTGGGTGAGAGGCATACCTGCATCCAGGACGTGTCCCTGCGTTGCTCCCGGTGACTGAGCCTCGGAGGGCCACGCAGCTAGGCCAACGCTCTGGCCCTCGGTGGGTGCTAGTTGGAGGGTCTGGGCCACCTCCAGCCCATCTGCATCTCCGCTCCCTGCCTGCTCTGCTTCCACGTCTTGTCCTGCAGCCAGCAGCTGCAAATCAGTACTTGGGCTTTCTCCTGGCACTGCTCCTGGTCTCCCAGCCTCTCCCAGGCACTGCACCTCTGGATCAAGGTGCTCTCCCAGTTTTAGTTCGAGTTTCTCAGAGCGCAACATGCACGAGTCAGCCTCCTCCCCTAGCTCTGCGCCTTTGCTCAGAGGCTGCACGCGCTCTTCCTGCGCTGCAGCCCAGCGAAGCACGCCTGCGGTGAAACACCCTCCCAGCGCTAGTTCTAGCTCCTGAGGCTCAGCTGGCCTCAGATCTGCATCCAAATTTTCTCCTTGGGTTAACACTGCTTTCTCAGCATCTCCTGGGGGCCGCGTGGCTTCCCAGCCTGTTTTTTCCTGCGTTAATCCTGCTTCCTCTACCTCTGTCAACACCTGCGCTCCTGCCTCTGTGCTTTCTCCCTGTGCTCCTTGCAAATCCTCAGACTCTTCCAGCGTCTGCTCCTCTGTAGCAGTGCCCTGTCCCTGCACAAAAAATATGCTCTGAGTGTCCTCCTGGCCCTGCCCTGCTCCCTTGGGGCTCTCTCCCTGCTCTCCACCCCGCTCCTGAGCCGTGCGGTGCCCGGCGCTCTCAGACGCACCGGCCGGTGTCACATCCTGAGCACCGAGAGCGGCTTGAGCTGGTCCCTCTTGCAGGAGGTCTCCTTGCAATGTCTCTTGACTGCTGAGGCTGGCAAGGGTCTCCTGCAGGGCCCCGGGGGCTGTGCCGTGCATGGTAGTATCCTCCCACGGACGAAGGGAAACGTCTCCCGCTGGGACGGGGTCAGCTGGGCCTTGCAGCTTCAGCTCTTTGCTCAGAGCCACTACTGCATCATTCATTTCTCTTAGCAAAGAGCTTTGGTCAGAAAACCATTCCTCTTTCAGAAATTCTGGGAAGGGATCCTGTTGTACAGAGGTCGCTCTGGGCAGGGGTCCCGAAATGCTTATTTCTCCCGGCACCTTTTCCCAAACCCTGGAAATAGCAGAGCACACGGTATAAGCACAGCCACCCTGCAGCTGCCCCCAGCCTGTGCCAGGGCCGTCCTGAGCTGCCATTCCCCCTGGATCCATCCTCTGCAAACTCATCTGATCCCACTTCAAGCCCACTTGTATTTATTCTCTCTATGTGCTAGAAGTTCATGTAGGCAGAGAGCAGGGACAGAGGAAATAGGAGCACACCCGATGCCTGGAATAAACTCGGCAAGCTGTGCTTGAGCTGTCAAGGAAGCGGACAGCAGGGAGGCAGAGCTGGTGCCTTAATGCAGCGTGAGAAGTGAGCGTGTTTCTTCCCAGGCTCTGGTATTTACCTAGGCTGAGATTAAAAGGCAAAGCTCGCTCAGACAGGAGGAGTGCCTGATCTAAGGGGAGCGACGTGCGGCCTCAAGCCGTGGGAAGTGATCTAATCACCGAGGTGAGAGATGCGCGGGTGGGAGAGGAGGCAGCAGTAGAAGAAATAGAAGTGATGTTTTGCCCGGAGGTGTGCGTAGGGGGGGAACTTGGGTGCTCAGCATCGGCTCACGGGCCCCTAGGACACGAGGTGAAGAAGCAGCTATTGCCCAGCAACAGCGGTAGCTGTTACTCTCCGAGGGCCGGCCCTAAGAAGAGACGCTGCCCCGAATATCAAGTCTGTTGGGGAAATATGACCTCCCTAGGCTGCTTGGCGCTAGATAAAACCCATCCGGGGAGCAGTCGCCTTGCAGCATCCCTGGGGTTTGCACCGCATCAGAGCCCCAAAGCAGCTGCAGCAAGGGCAGAAGGTAAATGCAGCTCCTTGGCCCTGTCCATCTCAGCATGACCTGAGGCCCCCTTACACGTGGTGGCCGCTCTTTGGTGGCCGGTTGCCACTCTGGGATCCGAGCCTGATCTGCATCCCGGAGCAGTACTTCTCGTTCTTCTCCAGACTCGTCTGCCGTGAGCAGGGTGGGAGGAGGAGAGAAAAAAGGGATGCTCAAGAGAGCGTATCAACACGAGATGCTGGCTAGCTCCCCTCCAGGTGTCAAATCAGGTATCTAGAAATACCAGCATGAACTTTTGGGGGTGTCAGCCCCAATATGCTGCTACCCCCTCCCTTTCCAAGCCCCTCTCCGGCACACCCCAGCGGCACGCACCCCGCTCTCTCGGGCTGCCCAGCGGTCCCTGCCCGAACAGCGTGCCCACGCGTGTGCATCCCCCTCGCCGCTCTGCTGAAGTAC